TCGAATTTCTCTTCTATAATTGCTTATTTTATTATTGTAATTTCGTGAAAAATTGTGAGTTGGTGAATTGAAGAGAGAGTCTTCAAGTCTTCAACGATTTTCAATTTTCAAGAAGTTGTTCGGCAATTCGGAAACTCGTTCCAACTCTTAAGTTTTATGAATATATTTTTGTGTGTTTAGTTTGCGTAATTGTAATTAATATGGCTTTTTTTCTTAGAAAAAAATGTTTGGTGGTAAGGGAAAGCTAAAATTGGTGAAAGTAGTCTCAACCTACTACCCTTCCCACAGGCTCCCCGACCCAGACCTGTTACCCGTCCTGCTGCTCCTATTATTCTTATAGTGATAACCCTTGTTTTTCAATTTTCCGATAGTGAATTTTGCCATAATGTTGACACCAGGTGAACAATTAAATGAAGAAGTTATGAGTGCTCTTTATCCTAATCAAACTATCTTAGAAAATGATGAGGAAAATTGAGGATGTAGATGAAACCAAACCGGATTTAGATGATACACTACTAGTCTCGTTTTAATAACCCACTGATGCTTGACGTGCCGCCCGACCCACCTGTAGAAACCCCTACTTTTATAGACAACCTTCTAAACGCCTAGAAACATCAATAGTTTTGGAATTTTTTTTACTCAAGTAAGAGAACAAAATAAGGCTAAGTGTAAAACTCGTGGGAAATTGCTGGCGCATAAATATACTGGAGACCGTAGCGGTACGGGTAGTTTGGATAGGCACATACAAACACACCCTAGAGATAAAGTTAAATATTTACAAATGAAAGCGCAGCAAGAGGGGACAAGTGTAGATACTGCGGTTAATCCTAGTACAGGTTCAAATCTAGTTCAACCAGGAATTAAACACTGTGACCGGTGTATTTTATATTACGATCCTAATAAAGATCGGAAGAATTAGCAAAGATGGTTACCGTTATGTGCTTACCATATACTTTTCCTTCTAACCCTAATTTTTGTGCATATATATTTAGAAAAGTTTTTAATCCTACTTATAAAGGTTGGCTCGCAGCACAGTTAAGAGCGATATTTATTAAACATGAATATGAACAATATTTGTCGGTATTTATTTAACTCATATAACTAATCGGATTCTATTACATTACTCATGATATTGGTAGAAGTAATAATGACTGTGATTATCTAACTGTTACAAGTCATTGGATAGATGAGAAGTGGATAATGCAAAAATGCATTATTGTTAGAGATACAATGTAGATTATGGTGTAACTTGTACTTTGGCATATCTTCTTTAGTTTTTTTCCTTTTAATGGTGGTATTAGTATCTTGTTGTGCTCATTCCATTGGGGGAAGAAGACTAAGAAGATATGCCAT